TATTTCTGTGGTGTCCATAGTGATTTTTCCTTTCGCATTTCTGATTCTGTTTATGTGTGTAGACTCTCTTTTTTTCTTGATAAGTCTGGCTAGGGGTTTATCTATTTTGTTTATTTTCTCAAAGAACCAGCTCCTGCTTTCATTGATTCTTTCTATTGTTTTATTCTTCTCGATTTTATTTATTTCTGCTCTAATCTTTATTATGTCCCTTCTTCTATTAACTTTGGGCCTCATTTGTTCTTCTTTTTCTAGTTTTGTTAATTGTGAGTTTAGACTGTTCATATGGGATTTTTCTTCTTTCCTGAGATAGGCCTGTACTGCAATATACTTCCCTTTTAGCACGGCCATTGCTGCGTCCCACAGATTTTGTGGGGTTGAATTATTGTTGTCATTTGTCTCCATATATTGCTTGATCTCTTTTAATTTGGTCATTGATCCATTGATTATTTAGGAGCATGTTGTTAAGCCTCCATGTGTTTGTGGTCTTTTTCATTTTCTTTATGTAATTTATTTCTAATTTCATACCTTTGTGGTCTGAGAACCTGGTTGGTACAATTTCAATCTTTTTGAATTTACTGAGGCTCTTTTTGTGGCCGAGTATATGATCTAGTCGAAAATGTTCCATGTGCACTTGAAAAGAATGTGTATCCTGTTACTTTTGGGTGAAGTGTTCTGTAGATGTTAGTTAGGTCCATCTGTTCTAGTGTGTTGTTCAGTGCCTCTGTGACCTTATTTATTTTCTGTCTGGTTGATCTGTCCTTTGGAGTGAGTGGTGTGTTGAAGTCTCCTAAAATGAATGCATTACATTCTATTGCCCCCTTTAACTCCGTTAGTATTTGTTTCACATATGCTGGTGCTCCTGTGTTGGGTGCATAGATATTTAGAATGGTTATATCCTCTTGTTGGACTGACCCCCCTTTATCATTACGTAGTGTCCTTCTTTGTCTCTTGTTACTTTCTTTGTTTTGAAGTCTATTTTGTCTGATACAAGTACTGCAGCTCCTGCTTTTTTCTCCCTATTAGTCACATGAAATATCTTTTTCCATTCCTGCACTTTTAGTTGTATGTCTTTGGGTTGAAGTGAGTCTCTTGTAGGCAGCATATAGATGGGTCTTGTTTTTTTATCCATTCAGTGACGCTGTGTCTTTTGATTGGTGCATTCAGACCATTTACATTTAGGGTGACTATCAGTAGGTGTGTACTTACTGCCATTACAGGCTTTAGATTTGTGGTTACGGAAGGTTCAAGGGTAATTCCCTTACTATCTATCTAACTCACTTAGTATGCTATTCCAAACACAACCTAAAGGTTCTTTTTTTTTTCTCCTCCATTCTTTATATATTAGGTGTCATATTCTGTACTCTTTGTCTATCCCTTGACTGACATTGGGGGTAGTTTATTTGATTTTGCATCTCCTTAGTAAGTAATTGTTCTACTTTCTTTACTGTGGTTTATTTGCTCTCGTGACAGCTATTTAGCCTTAGGAACACTTCCATCTATAGCAGTCCCTCCAAAATACACTGTAGAGGTGGTTTGTGGGAGGTAGATTCACTCAGCTTTTGCTTGTCTGGAAATTGTTTA